ACACTGCGATCCGTGTAGACCCATTTCCTCCACAGACACCAGGTTCCAGTTTTGGATCACCCTCCATATTCTCCAGATCTGGCTCTCGCGGACTTCTTCCTGTTTCCCTTACTGTTCCTTACTGTTTCCCCGCCTCAAAGGAGTTCTGAAAAGCCAACACTTTTCCAACATTACTGAGATCCAACGTGTGACAACGGTGCTTCGAGCCATACCGAAAGAAGCATTTGCAGACAGTTTCCAACAATTGTACACCCGATGTCAAAAGAGTATTGTTGCTAATGGCGAATACTTTGAAGGCTAGTAAAGCTATTTTGCTTGTTTCTCTTGTTTCTATTTTTTTATGGTAAAATTCACCAAACTTTTCTAACACACCTTGTATAAAACTGCCAACAATAAGAACTATACTTGCAATTTTTTTTCTCTCTTGTTCTCTCTCTCTCTTTATAAATATATATATATTATCGGGTTTTAACGAAAGCTTCCCACCACCACAAATATCGTCTGTGCAAACAGATTGCATTGGCACGTGACTAATCATATTTTGTCCAATGATTTTTGGCATTGGAAAGAAAGAGACTTGCTTTAGAACACTGTTTGGAGAAATTTGTAAAAAAAAAATTCTTATCATTAAGTACAAGGTGTCTGAAATGGAACTATCACGCTACCAGATTAGAATCATCTCTTACTTCCAGTCTGTTGCAAAAAGTCAGCTACAGAATGTCACCAAATCGTGTGTAGAGCTTTAGATGATCATGTGTATAAATTCTATGTACAACTTTAGATGATTTTCTGCATTTTTTTAAAATACTGTAGCATTATGGATAACAGGAAAAGGAAAAAGTTCTGTTTCTCCCAGACTTTGCTAGAAAACCATATGACATTGCTTGAAAATACTATATCCAGGATGTCACATCATTGAATATTATCTCTCTCATCTGTGCAGATTTTCATTAACATTAATTCCTTACCCCCCAATTTGCATCCATTTTTAAATTCAAATAATATGCAAAGTGCTATTTGTACATTTTTCATACAGTCAAAAGTCGTTAATCCGGACTCGTCGGGACTTCGGCGATTCCGGATTATCGATTTTTCTGGATTATAGATCATCAGTTTAAATCTGGTAAGATGACATGCAGAAATTATAAAATTACAAATATGAAACCGTAATTTATGAAATAAAAAACAATTATGATCTAAAGGGTATCAAAATTTACAAAAAAAAAAAAAAAAAGCTTACTATTTGTTTGTTTATTAAACATTTTTTTCAATGTAAGTTGTTTAAGTTGCTTCATTTTATGTGTTAATACTTTCTCTTTAATTCTATAAACAGACATAATTTCTCATTCAGTTACAAAATTCCGCTGTTCAAGTCCTATAATTGCTGTGTCGAGAATATGGATTAATTTGTCAATCGACATTTTTTCGTTTTCAATAACCTCTGTGTCCCTTTCTTCACTATCGGAAGCGAATTATAATGACGAGGAACTTGATTTAAATCATATCAAAGATGGAGTACATCGAGATGAAATACTACATTTAGCAAGTCAAATAAAATAAAAACCAATAAAATAAAAACCAAATTAAATAAGCTAAATAAAATAAAAACATCTGCCCTGAAGATAGGGATAGTGCTGACAGATCAACTTCCAATTCATTGCGGGCCACGGCGTTCCCTTCCTATCCTCCCCTCCTTCCCCCGTCGCAGAGCAGCGTGAAATTGATAAACATATTTTGGAATGGTTAGAGAAACAAAGGATATGCCTTTATCCATTTTTTGCAGCAATTCCACTTTTTGTTTGATGGACATCGAAATATACTTTCGCTTTGTAGATCCTTTGGGAGCTCCAGCATCGGAAATTCTATTTGACATAATCGAAAGTTCAAGCTTACTTTTAAAAAATTGCTCTAACAGTCTGCAAAGAATAATAAGCCGGATCCAATTCGAAGATTGAGGAACAACGCAATCTGCAACATTAACTGAAATAGATAATTAGATCATTTTAGCTTATATCCGTCCGTTATAAATTAAACGCGCATTATTATCCGTTATAAATTAAACGTCCGTTATAAATTAAACGTATTATGCGCATGTGCACATGCATATGCGCAGCCGTAAAGGTCTTATGCGACGCATGCGCAGAAAGTTTGTAGCTTTGATGTCCGGATTATAGATCATTCCGGATTACGGGTGTCCAAATTAAAGACTTTTGACTGTAATTATTTTAGGTAGCCTTTAAGTGCCTATACATCAATAAAACAAAAATGTTTTAATAAATTTAAATTAAATGTATATGTTTATAGTTATTTCAATATAAATACTCTTTCAAGATGACATTAATAAAGGTGAATTAAATTTTCAGTTTAAATTCTCAGAATTTAAGTTTCTGATCTGTATTAGTAATTGTGTATGTAGCTGCACCGGTTTTCTTTTTACTATTTCAAAACTGCTGAAATATTTAAAATATACAATTTATAAGCTGTTACATTTCTAAAATATGTTATTAGAAAAAGTTGTATTTCTGAAAGTTTCCTATTTCACTTACTTAACTAATAAGTGCTTTTTTGCAATCGTATCATTATATCAAGGGTTGCAATGGGATCAGTAGTGAACCCCTAGCGGGTATGGAAATTTTATAGGGAGTCAATGAAGACCTGGGCATAGACAGCCGAATTTGCAGTGGCAATTAATCAGCACAGTCAAGATTCCATTGATTTCAGAAAAGCACATGTATACTCAATTTCAGATTTTAAAAGTCATACAAGAGTAATATCCCAAAATTAAAATTGTTACCGAACCAACAATGCTTTTTTCCTCTTCTAAACGAGTAAGCTTGAATAAGTCAATAATTTACTATGGGAAACAAGAAAAAGGTTGAATATTTCTGATGGAAATGATTTAAGAATTAAGCAGTTTTATGTCAAATGTTAAAAAAATTACATGAATGCTCACATCGCACTAATTATTCACACTTCTGTGCAATTAAAATTCAAGTTTTGTGCAGTTAAAAATCTGTGATTTTGTTTCTGGAAACGTCTTTATATTTGTAAAATTAAAAATAATGAAACATAAATCCAATAAACCATTTTTCTTAAATTTTTTGTTCATTTAATTAAATTTTATAATTTTAGTTTATGTTATTTACTTGCAATTATTTATAATTTGACTATGCTGCACGATATATATTATAGAGAAAAATGTAACGGCTTTGATGAAGAAAACCTTCTTTTAAAAGGGGTTAATGTAAGAAAAAGCTTGAGAATCCCTACTTTACATAAGCAAAATTTTCAAAGACCTAGCTTCTCTATTTTTACCTTCACTAAGTTGTATTATTATTTTTAAATGTAATGCCATATGACATATAACTTTAAAAACTTTTTTGTTATTGTCTGATTATTCACCCCCCCCCATCAAAAAGTCACAAATTCATTCCTGACTTCGGAGAGAGATGTTTGTTTGGATATCCTTATGTCTAGTTCAAAAATGCATCTGTACTGACTATTTTTTTTTATTTATTTTTTTCCCTTTTTTATACACACATACACACTCACATATATATATATATAAGACATGTACTCTTCTTGATTTTTTTCCACTCTTCTTTTCATGTACACAGTGATCTGCTTTTACTGAAGAAAGAGGCCAAGCGGTAAAGTCGCTGAACACTAGTAATTCGGTCCGAGGTTCGAATGCCGCGAACGGGCTGGCTGCATGCGTGTTTTCGTGGTTTTCCCCATGTATAATGTGTATACGAGCCAGCTTTTCTTAGAAAGTCTTCCACAAAGGCATCATTCCCTTTAGGCAGATAGTCCTAGTGTGCTTTGCCATAATTAAATAAACCAAACCAAACTTACTGAAGAAAGCATCGGAGAATTCCAGAAACTTAAATTTTTGAACAACTATGACATCAAATTCCTAAAATGACAAACATGAAAGAAAAAGGCACATGATGCCTTTAAACAAGCTTTATTGCGCTGTATGTGTGCAGAAAACTAAGCCTGAGATTTTGCCGAAGAAAACTGCATTATGCGGTTCACAAAATACAGAAATTCTCATAGGAGGGATCATAATCTGTCATCGTACTAGTGAAATATTTGGAAAGTCATTTGGGGTTGCCATGGCACACTTGAATAGCCACATAAATACATTTTGGCAATATTGTAGGATTTTATAGTAAAATAAAGTACTGGTTTAACATGTAATCCAGATAATTCTCTTAATGGTTTGTATTTTTTTTAATGTTTTATGTTTTGTAATTCTTATAATTGTATATTTTTAATATACTTTTAGATGTGTAAGCATTAATATAATAAGGTGTAAATTATATATATATATATATTAATAATACTGGTAGACTGTATGCTCTGCCAGCACCAACACATTTTCATAACAAGTACATAAACACAATGCAACATAAATATTTTTTTGCGTTGCTACGTTTTGTTACAAGCTATGTTGCCTCATCAGTACATTTTTGTGCTCCTTTGGTAGGTTTGGGTATACTCATAAAATAATCCCCCCCTTTTAAAAATAAAATCTTGAATACATCAGAACATTGATGTTCGGCAGTCACCCCAGTATTTGACATTCAGCCCCAGTATTTGACAAAAATTGTTTTTTAATGCATCTTCCCTTTTTTTATGTTTTTGTTTCTTCTACAGTTAGTTGTTCATTAGAGAGTAAAACTAACATATTACTACCAGTAATGGTATGATTGAGACTGTTTAACACTGGCATTTAAACCCAGGTTTGAATCCATGCAAATGGACTGCCTGCATGTTTGGTTTTCTCCATGTGTAACATGAATGCAACCCAATGTCCCCACGAAAGCACATACACCCTAGTCAGATAGCAATCAAGTACCTTACTGTATCCAAATAACAAATCAAGATGAATATTTACGTTTTTATTAATTAAATTTAATATATTATGATGCTGCTGTTATTTTTATCACATACTGCAATGATATTACATACTTGTTTCAACTTATAATAACAACATCAGTCATGATACGAATGTCAGAATAATGAAATAAAAAATAAATATAAAATTAATAGTTTAGATAATGCATAATATTATGTAGCTGTGTATTAATGCTTCCTTTTTTAGGTTCACAAAGATGTTGAAACAGAACTACAAACAGTATCTGACTTGAGGATAGTTCCAAGAGTTTCAATCACTAGTTGTGACTGCAAGACCTTATACACCTCACCAAGTGGTGCATTATGAGGTGCACTGTCACTGTGCTTGTCAGACCACTGTGCTCACAAATTACCATTCCATTTTCCATACAAAGAACAGTTTGAGAAATCATTCATCTAATGCTGAGTACCATGCATTTTTTGTGTCTCTCTTCCAATGATTATGAACTGCAAGAACTGTTTAAATTGTGAAATAAAAAATTATAAATTTGGATTTCATGATGTTGCTAAATGTTTTCCAGAAATTTCAGAAAATGTTTCATAAATATATTAAAATGACTACTGCATATAAGTGTGCTTTCTGAGAATTATTGGTTGAAATACTCCAGAATAAGAACCTGCAAAATGCTTTTTGTTAATATTATAAGTAATTGTAAATATCACACATGCTTTACAAATTTATTTTAATTATTTCATAGAATTAAAGTTTTCAAGTTAGAAAAATTGTTATTGTTTATATCCTGTTTCTATATGAGCATGCTTATTATTCGGAAGTACTAGTTATTAAATTCTGAAAAATAAAGATTAAAATATACACAATCATCATAATATACGAGTAATAATCATTTGACAGGTTACATGAATTAAGTTAAATTTCTTAAACAGAATATAAGTGATAGAATTTCTTAAAGTATGCTTACAGTGCAACATTCAGTATAAAATATTTTTTAAGTAATTAATTTTCTTATGTAACAGTTGCACAAAATTTGTCTGCGTTAATTTAACTATGTTCTTCATTAAGGCTTCGGGTATTGTAATTTGAAGCTTATGTTTTTCCTCTAACTTATTTTATATGAAATGTTTACAGTTCTATATAACATGTTACCAAAAGATGCATTTACTCTGGAGAAGAAAAGGAATTTGTTTTTGAATTTATTGAACAATTTGAAAAGCTTTGGAAAATTTTCTTTATTGTATAGGTACATAAATATTATAATTTATCATGCTTCGTAATACATTTTAACATATTGTAAATAAAAATTTAAAAAATCTTTATGGTTTAGATGCTTGTGATGAAAAAATTTAAAGTAAAACTTGTTTTTGTGGGGGAAGGAGACAAGGGAAAACTTTACAGATCCTGGCAAACACTTCTAGAGAGTCCCCAAACTTTAAAAGTAAGCTTCACGGAATGCGAATGAAAATAAGAGTTATGCATGGAATAATTTTTCTTTATATACTATAATAGTAATCAGCTGAATATCTGTTAATTACACATTAGATGCAATGTATAATTTCAATTTTATTATGAGAAAGTAATTTCTGCAGTGAGTTTAAATACTAGAGAGCTTGAATCTCAAAGCTATGTATGTCTGTAGAATAGTAAATCAGTACGAGATAAAAGCTGTGATTTAGTTGTACTGTTTAAAGATTGTTGATAACACAAACTGTAATAAATCATTAGAATTCTGTGTAAATAATGTGATAATATTAAACAAGAAAGCTGCTGCTGATAACAAAAATTGTAATAAATCATTAGAATTCTGTGTAAGTAATGTGATAATATTAAACAAGAAAGCTGCGAGTTTATAGAATTTTCACATGAGGATGTAAAAAAAAAAAAAAAAAAGAAAAAAAAAGAAAAAGAAACTTGTATGAAAATGATTTAAGAACATTTCATGAGTATGTTAAATCTGCTTTTCTAATGTATGGAGAGTATATTTAGTGGAGTTAAACAACAAAGGTAATAATAATAACAATCAATGCAATTTAATTTACAAAGTGAAGGTATACCAACATGAAATTTTATTAAAATTCAGCTCTTGCACTAAGCAGTTATATTTTAGCTTATTTCTATTGGTGTGTAAAAATATATTTTTATATACATGCTAATACACTGAAAGTATGTATTTTAATGATACATAGCAACAGAACTTAGCAGTGAAAAAAATTTTTAATTTAGGAAGAATTTACAACCCACACAGACTGCGGCAGGTGGCAAAATGTCTAGTGTATGGTGGACTAAGACATATTTCCAGCTTTCAATTTCTTTATTAATGGAGAAATTCCTTTCTACAGATACCAAATTGTATGAAAGATTTTTGAAACTGTCCATGCTTATGTCTAGTAAAATTAAGAGAAAATAAAAAATATAAGTGGAGGGTTGCTATCAACATAAACAGGATGATCAAAACTTGTGTCATTGATTACTTAACGATGCCCAAAAATTAGAGAGCTGCAAATGAGCTGTAAAGCCAAAACTAATGTTTACTTTAACTGATAGACTCCCTAACATTTAGTGCAAAATTCTGAGATAAAATTTTACACAAAATTCAATTGGTTTGGTGATGCTCAAATAGTTCAGTTAGAACTTAAAAAAAAAAAAAAAAAAAAAAAAAATCTGAAATGTTTTAGATTTTAAATTACGTCTAAAGGGGCGTTTTTTTAAAGTTTTGAGTGTTACCTTTATTTATTAAATATCATGTTCTTTGCACTTAAACCATAAATTTCAGTTCAAGAGCAATATCGCAAAATAATGTTAAATTAAGCATATCTTCAGAATTTCCGATATACACAGTCTCGCGAGCTGGAGATAAAAGTATTTTTTTTCTATATAACGTTGCCATTTCTCGCTTTTAAAGCATTGAGTTTGTAAATCAAAAATTCATTAAAGTTTTACAAAATAAAATCTATAATAAAACAAATTCCAAATTTGGGATTTCAGATGCCCATATTCGCAGTAGGATTTCGTCATTCAAAATTCGATGGCTCTATGTACCCATTGTTTTATCACAATGCGAGAAATAGACAATCATTTATGCAGATTTTTCATTATTTAATTTCTTCAAATATAATGCAGGACTCTAACATTTTGTGGCAACAGTTTGAAAAGTGAACCGACGTTTATGAGTCCGACGCAAAATCGCAAAACGAAAACAATAGTCCTTCAGGGACAAAGCCCCTTTGGACTAAAAAAAAAAAAAAAAGGCACTTTTTTGCCATAGAGTTTAGTTGTTTTATTAAGAATTTAGCTGTGTTAGTTATAATTGTAGAGTTAGTTGATTTGAAAAGTAAGAAAAAGAACTTTTACAGAGTAAAAAAATGGCAGAAAATAACTATTTCTAACAAAAACACATGAAACTGGATAGCTTTGATGGTATTGGCTATTACTGGCATGATTTTTAACAACACAAAAAACATATCCTGCCCTGAGGCAGCATGAAAGCAGCCTCATAATGATATTGTTCCCTGTCACAAACTCTTGATGCTTAGCAAAATATTCATAGGTAAAAATGCTTCTAATATCACTCATTAGTGGTGGTGAAAATCAAATTTTTTTCTATGAAATAGTAGTACATTTACTAACTGTTCTCATTTTACAAATAAATGGTTAGAATACAGCACCTGAAAATAGACCTTATTGTTCACTTGTGGGTAAAAGGAGAGTATCACGAATCCAAAGAACAGTAAGGGGACATTGAGAACCAAGCTGACAATATGAACACTCATGGAAATTCAGTGGCTGCAATTCTTTAAAACAAAAATTTAAACATTCACTTTATAATGCAAATATTACAGATAATCATGCTAGCTGACCCTTCCCTATCAATCTAAGTTGCACACAGTTTCATTTTTCCATTCGAAAGGGTCAGAACTTTCAAGCTATCAGTCCGATATTCCTAAACTAAGACCAAAATGTCTCACTTGTAGCAAAATCCAAAGACTTCTAGGCAGCAGCACCTTTCCACATTGCCACTGTGCATTCTGTTGCAAAGGTTTTTGCATATCTTGCAAATCCCTTACTATAAATGTTCTGAGAAGTCTTATTATTAGTCCATAGGAGCAATTTGCCCAGAAGGACTATTAATTTTGCTTTGGCATTTTGTGTAGATTCACGATAAGCATTGTTCCACTTTTCAAATAGTTGCCACTACATATTAAATAAATTAAATAATGAAGAATCTGCATGAATGTATGTATGTTTCTCGCATTGTGATAAAACAATGGTACCTAGAGCAATCAAAATTTGAATAATGTAATCTTCCATAGAATATGGGCATGCTGAAGCCCTAATTTGAATTTGAAATTTGTTTCATTATTGATTTCAGATTTTGTACACTTCAATGAATTTTTTATTAACAAACTAAATGATTCCAAAGTGAGCAATGGCAACAATGGAGGGGGGGACATTTTTATCTCCAGCATGCGCGAGACTCTGTATCAGAAATTCTAAAGATATGCTCATTTCAATATTATTTTTGCGATATTGCTGTTAAATTGAATTGAATGGTTTGAGCATGTAGAACATGATATTTAATAAGTAAAGGTAACACACAAAATGCTAAAAAAAATGCTCCTTTGGATGTAATTTAAAATCTGAAACCTTTCAGATTTTATTTATTTTTATATTTTTTTTTACTTTTCTGTTTCTGCATTGCACTATGTATTCTAATTAATTATTTTATGCATTATTTATTAAAATACATATAAATGCATGTTTTAATTAAAAGAATATTTGAATCTTCTTAACCCCTTGGGTAGATTTATTTAGAAAAATTCGTAATTCTGCATCTGGTGCAGATTTAATTTGCTGATGTCCGAAACAGTGTATAAAAGGCAGTAGATTTTGCATAAGGATTCATTTATTTGAGTGATATGATATAAATAGTAATTAGAATTGTGATCAGATCTTCTGTAAAAGAAAAAAAATGAAAATAAATATATTCAAGGAATCACAAAGCAGATTACTAGTATTTTTGGATAGTGTGATATTTTTCAAAGCAAGAGAGTACATGTAGTGGCACTTGACACTGCTTGCTTCCTTTTACATCAGCAAAATTCTGCCCCCCCCAAAACCTATAACCCTGGCAGTTCTCCACTAGAGCATTTACTGAAACTTCTCAATAAGCCTCTGGTGCACCTTCAAAGTCTTGGTAATATTTTACTAGCCACAATCACTTTCTAGTTTGCTACTGTCTTCCAAATTTTCATTTTGTAATTCACTATGGTCTATTCCTCAAAGTCTCCTCTTTCATTAAAACTTTCATAATCACTTTTGTAAAATATATTACTTATTTCTGACATTTTGAGGCAGCCTATCACAAAACAAGGTTCACTGAAGCACTGGAATAAATGTCCTCTTACAACTATTACAAATCACTCTTGCTATGAACAAAAATGTACAGGTTTAATTTTGTCATAGTTTGAATGATAAATTACTCATTATCCATAACTTAAGCAAAACAAGTGCACACCAAAACTCTATCTTCAAATGTACCCAAGATGTTAAGTATTTTAAATTCAAGAGACATCTAATAACTAAGTGTAGGGGGGGGGCACTGAAGAAGATAAATCACTAAAAGGTGGCAGTGAGCCAAAAAGTTCAAGAAACTATGGGTTAACAACTGCTGAAATTAGTTTTTTAACAAAAAACCCTGATTACTGATCCTTTCACTTCCCACCAAAAAATCTGTGGAGACATTTAGCTTAAATTAAATATAGCAAACAGCATAATACCTATACAAGGAAAGCATAAATTCTAGAAACGTGCTGGAATCTTCTGTGTGTTAATGCAGGCAGTTTGCATAGCATCTGATAATGCAAAAATAAACAAATATTGGGCAGATTTTTATTTAAATGCGCTCCTTAAACTTCTGTTGCATATTTTTGCTACATATTTTACTATCTATAATTCAGCGGATTTTCATTCTTAAGTTCTAGTGCATTTAATTTTGGTGTAGTGTATTAATAAGTAATGCTTTTATGCAGCAGCAGTTTCAAACACTTTCTTCATGCACCACTTAAAAAGAATTTGAAATTACACAGCATCTCTAACCTTTCCTTTAGAATCTATGACACCCCTTTCCCCTTCTAGAATTTTTACAATATGTACACTATTATTACCATAAAATTAACAAACTTGCCTAAAAATATACTAAAAATATATCAATAAGTTATTTTCCTACAAGGAATGATAAGTCTGAGGCTGTTTTAACAAAATATTCATTGAAAGAATCTGAAATCCAGTTGCTTTTCTCATTTCATTAAAAAAAAAAATTGTTTGAATGACTTCAAAGCCTATTATCTTCTCTTTGACTTTTTTGTAAGCTGAAGCTTGTTTTCTCATAAGAAGTAGTAAAGTGTATCTTAAATATTTGTGTCTACTATATTTTTTCAATACATGGTTCTCAAAAAATGTACTTGTTGGATTATAGAATAAATTTTATGAGAAACTTTGGAAAAAAAAAATTGTGTACACTTTCTGTAATCCTAAATGTATCTATTTTTGAAAATATTTCATATAGTTATGAAAGTCTTGAAGCCATTCACTGTGACATTTCAATTTTAACTGACAAAAAAATGCTATGCACAAACACCAGTTTAAAATATTAACCATGATATTCTTACTTCTGTGTCAAGATTTACTTTTCATCCATTTTTAATATAATTAACACGTCACACTTGACAACTCAGCGATAACTAAAAACCAAACTCCACACTCAAAATGGTCCCTCAATGTCACAATTATCTACTATACAGTGCAGATTCATTGGGATTTTTTGATGTTTTGTGTACATATCCCATGTGAAGCACTGAATGTAAAATTTTGAGATAAGATCTTGTGCGACACAAAATTCTACATTCATTCATGATTTATGCACATGATTTATTTACATACCATTTGATGACTTATGTATGATCAAAAGGTTTTTTTTTTTTTTATAATTTATGTACATATCTTCACATATAGTGACAATAATAAAATTAATAAGAAACATGTCCTCCTTTAGCCGAAATTACCTCTAGAATGCACTTAGGCATCACCTCTGCTAGTCTTGTGCATATATGTTTTGCTCATTTATCATTAAACCATACTTTTATAGCATTACTAATTGTGTACTCTTTTGCTCTACTATTCATTTTGCTAAGATGTTCCTTGAGAATGTGTCACAAGATTGGATTTAATTCTGGTGAATTTCCAGGTTAATTTAACACAATTTTATCTTCCAAAGTGAATCTTCTGACAGATTCCAAACCATAGCATAAATTCAAGTAATGTTGAAATGTCCCCACAAAAGCTTTGAAAACTGGCACAATTCTACATTTTAAAATTTCCATACTTTGATGAATTCATCATTCTGTCAATAAGAACAAGACTTCCAATGCCATCTGCAGTGAAAAATCCCAAAATATTTGTTTTTATGAGTATTTTATAGTTTGTTGGATATGATCAAGGCTTATTGATTCACCCTTGTTTCATCTAAGAATGTTAGATTAGGTAATCATGATCAAATAAATAAGTCTTATTACTGAAAATGACTTTTTCTCAATTATTAATGATTTAAGATTTACATTTTTTGCTTCATTTGATGAGTCAAAAATTGTTTTTTTAATTGGCTTACTCGTCTACACTGCACATTTGACAGATGAATATCAATACCAAAGAGATCTTATTTAAGGTATTTGCTGAGCTTTAATTGGACTATTTAATTTTATTGGATTCAGAGTAGGGATCAATCAGATTTGAGACTTGTTTTCCCTTTTGAAGAAAATGATCCAGTTACATAGTGTCTGCTCAGAAATCGAGAAACGTTCAGTTTTTTAACACCAAACATGGAAGCAATATTTCTGAAAGTTATGGATGTGTGACTATAAGTGCAACAATGTTTGCTGCCTTTATAGCGGTTATATTCATTTTTTATAACCTAAAATTAATGTAAGCTGAATTTAGAAAGTATGCAAAAGTAACTTCTGCAAATTAATTGCTTAATTAATTGCTTAATTGCAAATTAATTGCTGCAAATTAACTGCAAATTAATTGCTTAATTAATTGCTCAGAAACAAGCTTAAAAATGATACAATAATCATCTTAGCTAGTTATCTAAACCAGTTCTAAGTAGTCGAAAGCTGACTATCCAGATGACTGCTTTGATGAACTTGCTGGATCAACCAACTTAAAATTCCAACTTAAATGACCACTGTCATGAGCAACAAACTTAAATGGCAATGAACTTAAAATTTGTGAAAAAAATCACTTTGTCCCAATTAATTTGCACACTATTGCACATAATTTACTTGAAATAATACAGTCAAAAGTCTTTAATCCGAATGTCCATAATCCGGACCTCAAAGCTACAAACTTTCTGCACACGCAGATATGCATTTACGCATGCGCATTTAATGTATAACGGACGGTATAAGCTAAGCTAAAATTAACTAATTATCTATTTCAGTTAATGTTGCAGACTGCGTTGTTCCTTAATCTTCGAATTGGATCCGGCTTTTTTTTTTTTTTTTTTTTTTTTTTTTTTTTTTTTTCAGATTGTTAGAGCAATTTTATAAAAAGTAAGCTTGAACTTTCAATTATGTCAAAAAGAATTTCCGATTCTTTTTGCTGCCAAAGGATCTACAGAGCGAAAGCATGTTTCGATGTCCGTCCAAACAAAAAGTGGAATTGCTGCAAAAAATGGATAAAGGCATATCCTTTGTTTCTCTTACCATTCTGAAATCTGTTTATCAATTTCCCGCTGTTCTGTGGGGGGGGTCGTCGTGGCACGCAATGATCTGGAAATTGAACTGTCAGCACTATCCTTTTCTTCAGGAGAGACGTTTTTATTTTATTCGGATTATAATTCCTTACTAAATGTAGTATTTCATCTCGATGTACTCCGTCTTTGATATGATTTAAATCAAATTCATTATAAATATCACGAATACACACAAAAAAAATAGTTTTCGGGTTGCAATTTTCTAATTTCGACTATGTGTAATGTATGCTTTACGCATGCGCGCGTTGAAAGAAATGTTTAATAAGGTAAGCAAATAAATATTAAGCTTTTTTTTTGTAAATTTTGATACCCTTTAGATCATAATTGCTCTTTATTTCATAAATTACGGTTTCATATTTTTAATTTTATAATTTCTGCCTGCCATCTTACCAGATTTAAATTAATGATCTATATCTATAATCTGGGAAAACAGATATCCGGAATCGCCAAAGTCCCGACTAAAAAGGATTAAACACTTTTGACTGTATAGATATATATGGTTAACTGATAATAATACAGAAAATATATGATTAACTACCAAACATTTTATATGATACAGAGAGATAAAGCAGTGCTGCTAATGGTTATGTGAAATGCATGGGATATCGAGTAATATGACAAGAATGAATAGGATTTCTTACTAATAAATAATATATTGCTTCTATACGCATTTTGATTAGTAGCAATCACATCAGAAATCCTCATAATTTTCCTTTTTCTTAGGACACATGTAAGCTTTTGAACAAAACTGAATATTTTGTTTTTTTATCAGCATTTATTATATATTTTGTTGTTTTCCACCACCACTAATCATTTTTTCATGCAGCACTGAGTAAACTACAATGCACCCTCAGGGTATGAACGCACATTATTTAACACAAATCGAGAAGAATTGATTTAAAGCTATAAGGTATTTCTCCCGCCTTCTTAATATGTCTTTAAGGTGTAATAGTCAGCACATTCGGTGTGTATTTGAGAAATCCGAGGTTCAAGTCTCGGCAAGGGCAGTCACATTTTTCACACATCTCCTGCTTTAAAATAATCTAATGTCTCTACAGTGGCACCCGAACTAAAAGGGTGGTGGATGATAATTCTCCATCACCAGGATTTGGCGAGTCTCCTAATCCTCAGTCGTCCTTAAAAGGGGAGTATATAAGGTACTTCTTCTGCTTTCTTAGCATGCCTTCATGGTGTAATGGTCAGCACACTCGGCCCGTATTTGCAAGGAAAGTTCGAGGTTCGAATCCCAGCGAGGGCACTGCCCATTTTTCACACATACCCTGCTTGAAATTAACCTATTGTCTCTAAAAAGCATTATTTAGTTTTTGGTAGTGAAACTCAAATAATTATTTTTAAAAAAATTGTGGTCGTAATTATGAAGAATGTATGTCAAAAAAAAAGAAAAAAAACTAGTGCTGAAATACAGCAAACTGCTAAAATAACTTACCATTCTTTGAGCACCATTGGTGGGCAATTTGCGAGCCATAGATTTATTTTGTGGCCCTTGGGAAGAATTAATTCTCTAATGGGGGAAAGATTTAATTTTTCATGATTTAATGAAAACCTCATAAACGTACACACATTACATACTTCATAACCTCGGTTTATTTTTTAATTTGTAAGCATTTTTTATTAGAATATAAAACATATATTTAATTGACCTGATCATTTAATATAACACAGAATTTTACATTCAGTGTTTTATTGATACTTGCAGTTTTTTTTTTTTTTTTTTAATTAGCCCATTATAACATATTGTATTTCAGTTAATGTTGATGATTCCGTTGTTCCTTAATCTTCGAAGTGGATCCGGCTTATTATTTTTTGCAGACTGTAAAGAGCAATTTTATAAAAGTAAACTTGAACTTTCGATTATGTCAAAATAGAATTCCGATGCTGGAGCTTCCAGAGGATCTACAAAACGAAAATATGCTTCGATGTCCATCAAACAAAAGGTGGAATTGCTGCAAAAAATGGATAAAGACATGAAGAAGGTGACAGAGAGGTTAGTGAAAACGAAAAGATTGACAAGTTAGTCGGTATTCTCGGCACAGCAATTACGGGATTTGAACAGCGGAACTTTGTAACTGAACAAGAAATTATGTCTATTTATAGAATTAAAGAGAATGTATTATCACATAAAAACGAAGCAACTTAAACAACTTACATTGAAAGAAATGTTTAATAAAGTAAACAAATAAATATTAAGCTTTTTTTTTTTTTTTTTTTTTTTTTTTTTTTTTTTTTTTTTGTAAATTTTTATACCCTTTAGATCATAATAGCTCTTTATTTCATAAATTACGGTTTCATATTTTAATTTTAGAATTTCTTCATGCCATCTTACAAGATTTAAACTGATGATCTATAATCCGGAATCGCCGAAGTCCCGACGAGTCCGGATTAACGACTTTTGACTGTACATAAGAACAAGAGTTTACATGTTATCATATTTGATATTTTTATTTTAATGATAGATATATATATATTCTGATTTATTTTATAACAATAACATGATCTTCCAAGATTCGTAAAGAGCATAATTACATTTTTCATGTAATGTTATATAATGTTATCATGCAATGTTATGTTTTCTTGTTTCATGTAAAGTTACAATACAACCCTCTTGAAATAAGTTTAGGCATTATTTTTTAATGAAATTCATTACATTATTTGATTTTTTTTAAATAATCTCTTTTACTTTACATTAAGCACAATCTCATTCATCAGTCAATCAAAGAATGCTGTTTTCTTATGATACAAACACTAACTTAAACTTCAAGACTTTGCACATCAGTAAAAAACACACTGAAGTACACATTTTACGCATATAACAACACTAGCAAATTACACTGAAGTGACAAAAGTCATGGGATAGCAATATTAGACGGTGTACGCGAAAAATAAATAAGCTTGCAGGGTTTTTTGTTTATTAGGAAAGCTTGAGAGATCCAACGAATTAAACTTTGAAAGATGGATTGAGTAACATTGATTCGTGACTTGTAAAGATCATGACTTGTGAAGATCGTGACTTAAAGAGAACGTGAAATATAAATAATAGGACAAGAACTTGCATTTTACGGTGTGGCAACAAGAAGAGGATTCGAAAGATTTTTATATATATTTTTGTTTAGAGAGTTTAAGATTTTTGAATATTTTAATAGTTGTAAGAGTTTTAGTTTTAACTGCAGTATTTATTTAGTTTTTTTTATTTTTATTTAGTTTATTTATTTATTTTTTTTTTTGGTTCTGTTTTAAAATTTAAATAAAAGTATTTTGTTTATTCTGAAAAATTAGCTTTATTTATTCTTCCTACAAGATTCAATATTCATTATATTGAAATAAGGAAAGGATTTTTACTGGCGCAGTCGACAGGATCGGGGTTTCCCGCATATAATTACGAACCAAAATAACTCAGGTGAGAGCTCAATTTACCTTGTAAACGTAAAATAATTAACTAAGATTATGAAAAGTTAATTATTATTTCCGTCATGTAATCTTAGTTTATTTACTTGTCAAAGTAATGAATACGCCAGTGTTCAAATGTAATTTCGTTTGACTCGCCAGAGTAGGTGAACAACACATTAAGTATTGATTCCACTGATTGATTTTCGTGCCGAATAAAATTAAATTCATTGTGAATTATATTTAAATAGAAAAAGAAAAAAAAAAATTTTTTTTTTTTTTTTTTAAAACTAAGAGTCTATTGGCTGAATAAAATCGAGACATGGCTTTTATGGGACGTGGGAAAAAAGAGGATTTGCTGGCTTTAGCTGCTGAATTAGAAATTCAAGTAGATCCAAGTATGAAAATCGTGGCGATAAAAAAAAAATGAAATAATTCAAAGTGATACATATGATGAAGCATTTGCTAAAGAAGTGTTTTTAACGATTATTGAAGAGAGGAAAAGAAAAGAAGAGGAACAGCGAAGAAAGGAAAAAGAAGAGATTGAGGAACAGCGAAGAAAGGAAAAAAGAATTGAGAACAGCGAAGAAGAAAAGAAGAGCTTGAGGAAAGGCGAAGGAAAGAAGAATTGAGAAGCAAGAAAGAAAAGAAATTAGAAGCACAGCAGAAAAGAGAGCAAATGGAGTTTGAATTGAGGAAACTCGAAATTGAATCTCGTGTTCGACTAACACAAACTCCACCAACAAATGAAAATGGACATCATAATTTTGATTTAATTAAGCTTATTCCCAAATTCAATTTAAGACACGATGATATTGTGATTTATTTATCCTTATTTGAAAGACAAGCTAAAAGGACAAAGATTGATCCTAAAGATTGGGTTTCATGTTTATTGACTTTAATGCCATCTGAAATCATTCAATTAATTGGTAGGGAATCTGAAGAAAATTTTGAAGATTATGAGTACATTAAGGCCATTTTATTGAAGAGATTTAAATTAAATCCTGAAAGCTTTAGAAAAAAATTTGTGATGCACCAAAAGAGCGCTGAAAAATCATGGAGAGATTTTTGCTACGAAATTACAAGTTATTTTGAAGAATGGATCAATGGTCTTGAAATCACAAATTTTGCCGCGTTAAAAAGACTTGATTATTACTGACCAAATTAAGAAAAGAGTACCCTATGAAGTAAGAGACCATCTTCTTGACGACTGGGCGAAGTTCGTTTCTCCAACCAAATTAGCTGATAAACTTGACGAATATGACAGTGTTCGTAATATCTCAAAACGGACTGGTGGTAATCCATCAGCAGACAGAACTAATAAAAAATGGCAACCTCGTTCTCCACTTCCAGAAAGAGCTTTCAGAAATAAATCGCTGTCCGCTGAAAACACGCCAAGAGTGTACCCATCCCGTAAGAGTGACGAACCACAAAAGCCTAGTTTCAAACTAACTTGCTATAATTGTGGAAAAGAAGGTCATACATCTAAGTTATGTACCAAAAATCGGATACCAAGAAGTGCTTCTGCAACAGCACAAAACAACTTAATACAAACACAAGCACCCCTTACAGAAAAAGAAAAACCAGAAGTGCTAACTGCCAAGATCTCTATTCCTGTCTCAAAATCAGTGGACGTGTCTAGAAACATAGATGAATTAAAACTTGTCAAAGTTAAATGTGGAGATATTATTCTAAATGGAATCGTAGACACGGGAGCACAAATTTCAGTAGTCCGTGAGAAATTGGTTGACAACATACCTTGCGAAGGAGAAAGTAAAATAGAGATATCTTCTGCTTTTGGTGAAAACGAAATTACTCCACTAAAGATTTTCCAGATGAAAATTGACGATGATTTTCACGGTAGAGTGTCCATTACGTGTGCTGTTTCAAAAAAGCTAGTTACCGACTTGCTATTGAGTTCTTCAGCTTATGAAACACTCTGTGGAAATATCGAACTGTGGAACTGTGATCGTCATTGGGATGCATCCCCCTTAGAGTACAAAGAGACAGATGATAAACCCTCACCAGTTGAAGACAATACTACAAATTTGGCTGTTGTTAATCAGATTTCCCAAGAAAACATAGAGTCTCTGAAAACAACGAACAGAGTAAGACTAGAATTCAAGACACATCAAGAACAAGACGAAACTCTGAAAAAATGCTTTGAATGGGCAAATAAAAATCAAAATTCATATACTTTCGATGATGGCATATTACTTCATTCCGAATATATCTGTGGTGAAAACATTAAGCAAGTTGTGTTACCTTTAGAAAAAAGAAGGGAAGTCCTAAGAATGGCACATGAAATCCCTCTTGCCGGCCACCTCGGTGAGAAAAAGACAATTCAACGAATCAAGTACTCATTCTTTTGGCCTACTATTAAGCAAGATGTTAAAAAATTCTGTGGAAGTTGTAAAGAACTGCCCTTTACAGAAATGATAGAAGATAAAATTGTTGAACAGGAAGCACAGAAGGAAGAAATTATAACTGAAGAAACTAAGAGGGTAGAAACAGAAGATGAACTCAAAGAGGAAAAGTTAATTGACAGCAAAATAACAGATGTAGAAATTATTCCACCTGAAAGTAAAAACGAATTTATGGGTGAGACTGAAATCCCAGTTGAAAAAGAAACTGTCAATGAAAGTGAAACTCAAGTGAAGCCAATAACCAAAACAGAAAATACAGATGATGCTGAAACTGCAGCTGAAAAAGAAATAATTGCAGATGACAATAAAACTCAAGTAAATCTTGATGTTGACAACATAGAAGAGAAAGAATATATTGCTGAAATTGGAAACAAGAAGGAAAAAGTAGATGATAAAAAGAATGACTTAATAATCCATAAGGAAAGTGTGAAAGCTGACTTAGTAACTGAAAATGAAAATGTAAATCACACAGAAGCTGCAGATCTTGAAACTGAAAATAAACTTGCAGATAACAGTGAACTATTACAATTTACTGAAAAAGAAATTCTGGATGATAACAGAAACAAAAAGTACAATAAGGACAGCATAGATACTGTTGAACTGGGAGATGAAAAAGAAAGTGTGGATTATACAACAAAAGTTGAAACTGAAAAGGAAAATGTCATCCACAATGAAACTGAAAACCACAGAAACC